AAGAGCCACACAAGATGGTTTTAGAACTCCTTATAAAAAATCAACATGCAGCCCTAACCGGTTTGGCTCGGTGGATAGAGCATCGGCCTGCGGACTCAGGGGTCCCAGGTTCGATTCCGGTCAAGGGCATGTACCTTGGCTGCGGGGACATCCCCAGTAGGGGGCCCCCATGCAGGAGGCAGCTCATCGATGTTTTTCGCTCATCGATGTTTCTAACTCTCTATCCCTCTCTCTATCCCTCTCCGTTCCTCTCTGTAAAAAATCAATAAAATATATTTTTTAAAAAATCAACATGCAAAAAGAGAGGAAAATAGTATCAGATATCAATGCATAATGGTTTCTGACCACCCATCATAAACAATTAGAAAACTGGACAAAACAAAAAGAATGTTACCAAATACTAGACCACACTTCAGGAAAATTGGGCAGTTTCTTAAAAATTAAATATCTGCCCCACCCAGTCATTCTAATCACAGGTACTCACCCCAGGGAAATACAAAGGCTGCACACCAACGTTCACGGCAGCTGTAGTGGAGTCAGCCCCAAACTGGAAATGACACAAACGCCCATCCAATGGCAGAGGGAGGAGCAAGCGTGGCCTCCCCACGCAAGGAGCAGCACGAGCAATCGGAAGTGAGGCACTGATGCGCACCACCACCCGACCAACCTCAAACCCGGTGCTGAGCGGAAAGACAGAAAGCCACAGCCTGCCGAGGCCCACATCAAGTGTCGAGGCAGGTCACAGAGGCAGAGAGCACATCAGCTGTCGCTTAGCTGCTTGGGGACGAGAGGGGACTCACTGCGGAAGCACTAGGGGAACCCCGAGGAAAGTGTAAGTGCTCTAGCACTGCCTGCTGTGATGCTTTCACAACTGTATACACTGACTGACATTATTAAACTGTGAACTCAACAATGGGAGATTTATGGTATGTAAATTATACCTTCGTAAAGTTTGAAGTTAAAAAGGCACCAGGAAGAGACTAAAAAGACAAGTCCAAAATAGGGAAATAACCACAGTAAAGATATAAAACCAACAGTAAATGGAACATATAAAGAACATTCATGACATCATTTTATAAGGATTAAATCGCCCAAAGATGAATAAAACTGATAAACAGAAATTTAATAAAAGAAACATAGCCCATAAATATATAAAAAGATGTTCCCCACTTAATTACCAGGGACATGCCAGATAAGCCAAAATGCCTACGGCCCAGTTACTTTCCAGAATTTATCCTACAAATCGACTGCATAAGGCCAGAGACCGTTGCTAAGCACTGGGCGAAGACTGGCTCGTAGCAGAGCGCCAGCTGAATGTAGGGGCACCGTTCACACGCACAAGACCACCCAGTCAGCAGTCTCCAAAGCAGGCTGTGACCACAACTCCATCAAGTACGAGAAGAAAGTCCTATGATTTTGACTTACACACTAGACCAGTGATGGTGAACCTATGACACGCGTGTCACCTCTGAACTCATTTTTTGGTTGATTTTTCTTTGTTAAATGGCATTTAAATATATAAAATAAATATCAAAAATATAAGTCTTTGTTTTACTATGGTTGCAAAGATCAAAAAATTTCTATATGTGACACGGCACCAGAGTTAAGTCAGGGTTTTTCAAAATGCTGACACACCGAGCTCAAAAGGCTCGCCATTACTGCACTAGACAGTCAGTGATGTACTCATCCAACACATTACCTAATACAACTGACCAGAACAGTTTTTAAAGATAAAATGGATTTATAAGCTAGTAACTGGCTACATATGTTTCCTTCCGTGTTGATTTTCTTACCTTTGGTCCTGAAGCCGGGTGGATGGCATTTTTGGCAGACACGGGATGAGGGAAGGTGTTCTGGAAACCAAATGCAGAGGAGACAGGATACCCGATGCCACAAGTTGGGTACGTCAGCCTACCGTCAACCTAAAAATGAACACACACAACATTCAAGGATGAGAAATTGCTTCTAAATAAGCATTTGCTGATCCGAGAGACATTAGCATTTGCTATAATAACTGAGTTAACAGCACTATCTCAGAGGCGTTTTGTTCATCACGACACCACACAACTCTGCTTTGTTACACACCACGAGGCTGGGGTAGCTCAACAGACCAACCACTGGACCTGCCTCAAACTATTTTTTTAAAAATTCTTTTACTGATTTCAGAAAGAGGAAGGGGATTGAGCCCACAACCCGGGCGCATGCCCTGACTGGGAATTGAATCCAACGGGTGACCTCCTGGTGCATGGGACGATGCTCAACCAGCTGAGCCCCACCTGCCGGGCTCCTGGAACTAGCAGACAAAGACTCGGAAGCATCTTGGTTCGATCTAATGCCCCACACCCGTCCTTAAAAGGGGGACCATGGGTAGATTCACAGATCAATAAACCAATCAGGGATAAAATCATTTTCTGCCAGTGAGTAGAAATAAGAGCATCAGTGTTCTTAAACTGACTAATGGAGACCATTATTTGCTTTACCAATAATTTTCATTATAGTAACGACACCGTTAACCAATGTCATGGGAACAATTTATTTAATGAGCCCAACTGAAACACAAATCTGTAGTAAGTGTACATCAATGGCTGCATGACAAAAACACCCTTCACATGGCTGATGAGGAGTCCTTTCAACTTCGTAATTCAGCACCAGGCACCTCTTTCCACCTTTTGTACCTCAGCCGAAATCCTTCCCCCACATCCCCCTTTTTTTTCTCTTCACTTGAGGATATTTTTCCATTGAATTTTCCAGAGAGTGGAGGGGGAGAGACACAGAGAAACATCGATTTGAGAGACACACTGATGGGTTGCGGCCTGCACAGGGATGGAGCCTGCAACCGAGGTACATGCCCTTGACTGAAATCGAACCCAGAACCCTTCAGTCCACAAGTTGGCATTCTATCCACTGAGCAAACCGGCCAGGGCTCCTTTCCCTTCTTTTAACACCAGGTACTACCTGGTTCACTAGAGCGGATTGAAACTCAGTTAGGCACTTGAGTTGGAGGCCCTCTGCCAATGCTCTCTGGCCAGGATCACAGACCACACCTACGGGTGGGCACACTGGGCTGATTACTGCTCCTGGCGTGAGGGAAACCGCACACCATGAGGAAGCACCGGCTGCTGAAGTACTGACGGGAATGACAGCCATGTGCTGGATGACTTCAGGGACGGTTCCAGAACGTGGGGCTTTCCTGTGGGTTGGAGGCTATCAGGAGGTGAGGGTAGCTGTCTGCCTGGTAGCTGAGTAAATCTCCCCTAAAGGCAGGAGAAATGCATTCAGGCCAAAGCTGTAACTAGGAATGAAGCACTCATGTGACCAAGGATAAGATGGTTGCCCATTTTGTTGGTTTGGCAATGTCTGGATTTTTGTCATTTTTCCTTTTTCTTTTTTAATCCTCACCTGAGGATATGTTTATTAATTTTTTTAGGGAGAGAGGAAGGGACAGAGAGAAACAAAAGCCAGTTGCCTCCCATATGCGCCACAACCGGGGATTGAACCTGCAACGTTTTGTGCACTGGACAACACTCCAACAGAGCCACCAGCCAGGGCTGGAGTGGTCTTGTTTTTGTCTTAAGACGGCACAGTCAGAGTGGACTTGTCCGATGTCGACACTGTGAAATGCGTAGGTTCCACAGGTGGGCCCAAGGCCTAGCTGGGAGACCCAGTCCAGCTCCTCACAACACCCAGGTGCCATTTCTTGGCGGGAAAAGCAAGGGCTCTGCTTCTGGGAGCTAAAAGCTTCTACCTCGCAGCAGTTTTTTCTAGACTCTAGAGTTGACAAGCCTCTTAACAGGGCTTTCCTCTTTCCGATAGGATTCTGTTGAGGTCCCTTCCACCGCAGTTCCCTTCCCAAGGCCTCCTGAGTGAGTGAGTGAGTGTGTGTAAGTTTTCAGCGCATTTGGCAGTACTGTAGTTAATACTGAATGATTTCTAGATCTACTAACGTCTTACGAGAAGTGTGCCCTGGAAGTACGGCCTCTCTGTTAGAGCAGTCCACCTGTTCCACTTGCAGGGACATACTCTACTCAGTGCTAGTGACTGTGGACTCCAGGCTACCAGCACCAGCTGGTGTCATGGAGACGTCGTGACCACCTGGGGATACTTTTTGTTTTAGGGAATTTACTAAGACCTCTCCCACCTGCATTTAAGTCTTACCATGTTAGAGCTAGGAGACAGTCCACTTCTGATCGTGCTGCTAGCATGTACCGGTGGAGTGGCAGAAGGTCCCAGCACGTCCTGCTTTCTCACTAGCTGATTATCATTTAGTTCTTTATTTAACCATGTGATCACTTATAGAAAACAACAGGAAACAAGGGAAAGAACTTTATTAAGCTACTAGTGATCCGTCGCACGAAGCGAGACCCAGGGACCCCCACCCCCGCGCCATGGGACCGCCCTGAGTCATGGAGTCCCACCCTCTGTGGCTGGCATGCCGCTGGATGGCCCCGAGTCCTGGAGTGCTGCCTCCGGGCTCCATGGAGCAGCCACCGGACCCCACCCCCACTGCCCGGCCCCCCGCTGTGCGTGCTGCCATCTTGTGGTGGCATTATGGCGTGAGGGTCAATTTGCATATTATCACTTTATTATATAGGATTTTCCTAATAATTTTAAATATTAAAAATTATGCCAAGGTTTTTTTTTAATTTAAATTTTTTAAAACTGCCTTATATAACAGAAGAACAATATAGGTTAATTTAAATTTTTGTCATTTAAGATTCTTATTTAAAAAAACGATTCTTATTTTAGCACACAGAACTCCTTATTCTATTACTTCCCCAAGTATGTGTCTGCTAGTCACGGATCTCTTTGAAGGCTTTCATTTCAAGAATGGTATCTTACAGTTTATTTAAAGTTCACACTCATACCTGACAACCAATATAATAACTCAGAAAAATGTTAAAGGCTTAGTTTTGTATTTTAGTTTCAAATACTTTATATTATTACTATTAGGTAAATACGGCAATTAAAAAAGAGGGAAGAATTTTAAAAGTAAATTATAGTTAATATTTTAACACTGAGTCACTGATATAGGTGATATAGTTTCTTTTAATGATGGTAACTGTTTTATAGGGCAGGTGATATAATTTACTATAGCAAAGGCAAAAGACAGTATATTTTGAGCAGAAATTATTTGCATATATCAATATCCTGATTTTCCTAGACTTTTCTATGAATTTAAGTATAATATTAAGGTTATGACTAAAAACGATGAATTTCATTTACATATAAAGGTAATATACTTACACTTTTCATTATTTTTTAGAAGCTGTTTGCTTTCCTCAAGTTTTTGAACTGTAGCTTCTAATTGTTCTTGTAATTTGCATACCTGAAATAAGTCAATCCTCATAAGTATAAAAAAGACACTAAAAATTGAAGAAATGTACTGACTGATATTAATTTAAGAGTTCATTACTCTTATTATTAAGTAATGAAGGCTCACCTATTTAGGGAATGAACACTAAAGGTATGTGAGTCATAACTAACTTTTCAAACAAAAATAAGTTATTAACTTCTGTTGAATCTAGTCATGCTCTTTGAAAAACAAAAAAGAAGCCAAAGCCATTCTCGACTATAACAAAGTAGAAATCTGAACTATACATCTGAGGAAATGGGTTATCTTTTACAAATAATCACAAAGAAGCATAAAACGTTCTCCACCTCCTGCTCTTTACTTCGGAGAGACTGCCCAACTTCTTGTAATTCCTTTTGTTCCTTTTGTAATTTTTCTTCCTTTTCGGCCAAGAGTTTCTCTTGCTGAATGGTGACTGTATTTTTCAGTTTCAATTTCCCCATTAAAGTTTTCAGATCCCCTTGTAACTTCTTGATAATTTCATTTGCCTGTAAAAGAGCTTCATATGTATATTTCTACATAATCCAATACAATATTAACATTCTGTTAAATTTTCAAAGACAAACCTTAAGCAGTTCCGCTGATAATGATTTTATGGTTGCTTCAAGTTTTCCTATTTGTACCTGATTTTTCTCACGGTGTTCTTCTAAAGCCACCTGATGTATTTTTAAAAACATGAATAATTAGGGCCCTTTTTGAGGAAAAGCATCACTATGAATGGGATCGTCAGTTTGTTTACACACTGTGAACAGACCTTCTGTTCCTGGACTGTGTCAAACGCTTCTTTTGTTCTGAGGGCCAGCTGGTCCTTGTCCCTGAGCTCCTGCTCTAGAACAGCCGCTTTTGTCTGCAGCTGATTGGCATGCTTCTCCTTCTCGTGGCACTCGGCATCCAGCGTCGAGTTCTCTCTCCGCAGAGACAGCACTTCCTGCTTGGCCCGCTGCAGCTCCTGGAGGCGGGAAATAATGAGGCACTGCGAAAAAGCCAAGCTGCTGGTCTGCTTACCTATAATTAAGAAGCTTAAAATACAAAGTCTTCAATAATTTTGAAGTTCCAGTACTGATGTTTTTTGAAGGATACAAAAGTCTAATGGTATATGTAACTTATAGATTCGGAATCCAGTTGTGAAATAGGCTAAAAACTAACCCAATCACAAAGGAAAATAAAACAATCCTAACTTGTGAATAAATTACAACTTGAAAAAACTAGCTAAGAAATTTGTCTTGAAATCTACAGTTTTAAAAATCACTTCAGTAATACATACTGATTATAACAGAATTTCAAAATACATAAGATTAATAAATTAAAAACCTTAACATTCCACCATCTACACAGTGGCTCTCAAGCTGATGTGCATATTGAATCACCTGACGAGTTTTAAAAACCACCGCACTCGCTGTATTGTGGGGCGCTGGAACCCAACCCGAAATATCTCCCAGGTCTGTCTGTCCCGATGCCTGGTTCCAGCCTCGGGAGCTTCTGATCAGTTAGTATGAGGTATGGCCTGGGCGAGGCCCGGTAAGACCCCTCTAACTGATTTTGAAGAGAACCAAGGGTGAGAACCTAAGTCAAGAGTGAACAGTTCTCTCCTTCGCTCACACTTCCTTCCATCGGGGAAAAGCACCAAGCCCATCGCTCGGTACCTCCTCAACTCCAGCCAGCTTTGCCTTAAGCTCCCTGATGGTGGAGTCGCCTTTGTATCTCCTCTCGGTGAGGTCTTTGTTAGCTGCTTCCAGCTCGGACAGCCTGCTCTGCAGCTGCTGGGTGTTGCGCTGATGGAGGATTTCTAGCTCTTTCTTCTGCTGCTCATGCTGCTGTTGGTACTGCACCTGCGCCTATTATATAATAAAATAGAGTACCAAATTCAAAGGGAAAAACCAGAAGTACAAATACAAGAAGATGTGAAGAAAAAAACAATCTCAGTTATTCTTCTGTGTAATTATAGGAGGTCCTTGTTTTGAAGAGGAGCTGTTTTCAATCATGAACTTCATGAAGGAGCAGGTAAGGTCAACAAAGGCAGATTGACACTCTAATCTCGCTCGTAACTTCTGCTCCTCCTAAACACACGTTTAGATGTAATGGTCTTCAAGTTCAGGGAAGAACAATATAGGATGAAGTAAAAAAGCAAACTGTAGAACAGTTTGAAACAAATGAGCGGGTACATAAGGAACTTATAGTATTTGCTTTAAAAAAACAACAACAAAAGAAACCACACACCTAAATTTGTGAAATCAGCAAGGTATTGTGCATTAGTTCAGCCCTACATTTAGTAGTTATATGTTAGCTAAAATAAAATCTGAACATGGTATTAACTGTGTAATACCATGTTGCCTATTTGAATCATACCACAAACATATCTTAATAATTTCTGTTGAGCACTATCAAATCCTAAATACTTTTTAAAAATAAACTATACTTTTTTGATTATGACAGTTATATATGCTATTAAAGGCACAAAGAAATCACAAATGACCAATAATCTCATCCAGGGACTCATTCTAAAGATTTAGGAATAACATCCCCCATACATATTTAAATTTAACATATTAGGGCTAAACTATTTATACAATTTAATCATGCTTTTCATTCCCTTACCATTTGCACCTTCTCACATCATTAAAAAAAACTCTGTAAATATGTGAGTAGTTGCACAACATTTCACCCATAGCTGTACCTTCCTTCATTTAATCCCTGAGCTACTGTGGTCACTGAATTTCCAATTTTTCACAATTACAAATAAAATGATTCCTATCATTGTACATAGATATACATCCAAAATTCAGACTATTTCCTTATGATTTATAGGTCAAAGAATGTGAATAAATATAAAGCTTGATACAAGTTCTAAAACTGCATTACAGCATATTCTTCCCCCCTCTCCCTCCCTCCCCTTTTTTCTTTCTCCTGAGCTCCAAAGGCCATTCTTTTATCTCTGTAACTTGTTTCCTGAGCCCACCCAGCCGAGCTGGCTCAATTCTTCCATGGCTCACTTTTTACACCTCTGTGAGTTTCTAAATAAAGTTTTGCTTTTAAAAATAAAAATAATGAAAATAAATAAAATTGCATTCCAGGAAAGTTATACCCATTCAAAAATTCCTATCACAGGTGCAGGAATTTTTCACAAAATACTTTGGGAATGTTACATTACTATTTTACAAATTCCCTCGTTTTTTAACAACTGGAAAGGGGAGAAGGGAGCAAAAAAGACAAAACAAGTAGGAGTCCAGATAGAACTGCAAGTGCCACCCTGGAGGACAACACTGAAGGGCGATCCAGAAAACAAGGCCTGGGAGAGGCGCTAACTGCGGCCGGCTAGGGGTAACACACGCTCACGGCAACCGAGGCCAAAGGTTTTATCCCAGTGATCATCACCATTTTGGAGTGAGTGTGAGTGTGAGAGTGTGTGTGTGTGTGTGTGTGTGTGTGTGTGTGAGTGTGAGTGAGTGAGTGTGTGTGTGAGTGAGTGTGAGTGAGTGAGTGTGTGTGTGAGTGTGAGTGAGTGTGTGAGATTTTTTTTGAAAGTTAAGGGACAGAATTACATCATTTAGACTTTCTACTTTATTTCAGATGATTCTGATACACATCAAAGTTTTAATCACTGCCCCACAGAATATCTATCAGCAAGAGGAGAACAAAGCAGCTGGCTTTAAAGTCTCAAAGGACTGATTCACAACCTATCAGAAAATGCAGTAGGGAAGGCAAATCCTTCAGCCACTTTGACATTATAGTATGCAACATCCATTAGTATTTTATCTGGGTATATTGCAATCTCACCTCTAAAAACAAGGAATGTTCATTACAGTATTATTTATAATAATCAAAAATATGAAGCATTTAAATGTCCATCAATTGGGTAAGCAGTTAAATAATTTATTATGTCCAAACAATGAATACTATGCAGCCACTAAAAAGGAACAGCTGAACCAAAAAGGAATGATACCTACAATGTCATGTTAGTGAATAAACATTGCAGCCAATAGATCCAGGAGGATCTCATTAGCAGAGGACAAAACCAAAGCCCAATGTGTGTACACACCTATTTACATATATAAAGAAGTAATATGCAAATTGTCCTTTACTGCGTCACAGTAAGGACCGTTCAACAGGCTGGGCAGGGCTGTGCGCAGCGAGGGGTGGAGCTGTGTGCACAACCAGTCACCAGGAGATGCATGGAGCACCTCTAGGTCCCTGCCCTGTTCCCGCAGGCAGCGGCAGCAGCTCCCTCCAGCCTCCCGAAGCAGCGCGGCTCCCTCCCGGCTCCCGCAGAAGCAGCGAGGCGGCCTACTGTGCGTGATATCTCGCACTGGGCCACTAGTGTATCTATAATTATATATAGTTTACACATTTCAAGTTTTATAAATATAAACAAATATTTACAAATTACATATTATTTACAAGTATGGAGAAAAGTCTGAAAAACCCATTAAATATTTATAGTTTATCTCTGGGTAGTACGACTTTGAAGGAGACAATTTTTCTAGACTCTGTGAAGTCCGAACACTTTAAAGTAAGCACACACTACTTTTATAATGAACACTATGACTAAGCAGTAACAAAACATTTCCCCCGTTCCCTCTGATGTTCATACCTGCAAGGCCTTTTCCCTCTCACTGGTCAGCTCCTGGGAATGCTTACTCGACAACTCTGCTGTGTGGGATGCCCATTCATTCCGTAACTTATCTAATTCTTGAACTTTTTCTGATAATGTCTGCATCAGAGTTCAATACAAAATAGTAAGAGTCTCTTGAACAGCTCATTAGGTTAGAACAGGCCAATATAACAAGGATATCAAGGAAAACGGAACCACAGCTTTTCAAGATATACGCAAAGATTTTTTGAATTTGAGGAAATCAAGATTAGACTAAAAGCAGTTTCAGATCTGCAACGGCCCACCGGTCAAGCTTGTCTATCTGTAACCTTTCAGTTAAATCTGGCTCTTCCCCAGCCAGTCCCCTCCTCTGGTATGAAGAAGTATAAACCCCGCTGGAGCCAGACAGTCAGAAGCATTCACTTAACACGGGAAGCCTGGGCACAGGCTCCCCAGGTGGGCTGTGCTGTGCAGAATAGCGGGTTATCAGAGAGTGTGGTCCCCAATTTCAAGTACTTGGGGCAAAAGGTAATAGCTCTGACTGAAACAAACCTACCAGAGGAATTAATTCTAAACATAACAAAAGGGGAAGGTTTACAGACAAACTGAAAGGCCGTTTTAGACAAGAGGAATGAGGGAAACAAGAGGAGCAGAGAAGGAACCTGCAACAGACACTCCACGTTGACTTACTTAATGAAGACGTGGAGGAAATGTGCCACATGCTGGGAATAATAAAAGTGTTTGGATGGAATAAAATATCGAAGAGATAAAGCATCCAGTTATGATAACTAACTGGTAGGAAAAAGGTGGAAAAAGGAGGAGGAATTCTGTGATAGCATGCTTTAAAAAAAAAAAAATACACAGAAGCCTGGATGGGATTCCAGAGGCAATTCAGAGCCAACGTTTGGATGACTTACAAAGAAAAATGAAACCTGATTTACCTTTTGTGTGAAATTCAGTTGCCTAGTAACATCCTCTAGCGATTGTGTCAATGATAATTTTTCTTCCTGTTTATAAAAATAAAATGATGTAGCTTACAATTTAATTATGCTACTGCTCAAACTTTAGCAAAGTACAGCCTCAACATCAGGCTAGGGTTTGTTAGAAACTTGAATCACAGGCCCCACCTCAGACCTCTGAGTCAAAATCTGCGTCAGCGAGATCCCTAGATTTGTGTGCAATTAAATTTTGAGATGCACTGGTCTACAGCATTTGACTAAGGAGACTTCCTGAAAACGCTTAAGAGGCCTCCCAATGTTGGTACAGAGCACTTGTTTTATTTGCACTTATTTTATTTCATTCAATTTAAGATGGGCTAGATATTCCTACACGTATCGATAAGCTGACGAAACTATGACACCCAGAGTTTAAGTGACCTGCCCAAGATCGCAGAAAAGAAGTAAAAACCCTGGGACCTAACTTTCTCAGTTCCTGGTCCAGTTCTGTCTTTGTATCTTGAGTAAATGAAAAATAAATAAACTCGTTACATGTTACAAAAATTTCTGGACATCTTACTCAGAAAACCAAAACCAAAAACAATATAGCTCTTCAGTGTTTATCGGAGTCCTTTGGTAGTTATTTAAAAAGAATACCTTGAATTCAAATCTTACCTTGCTACATTTCAAACAGCCTGCTAGAAACTTCTTTATCTCCACATCACTGCCAGGTAGAAGTTTTAGTGAGAGGTGTGTAAGATGCTTAAAAGGATTTGTCTCTACCACATTTAGAAGGACAGGAGAGTTATCCAACACAGCCGCTGGAGACACTAACTGCAGCAGAAACCTTGGGAAATGAAGGGTCATGTTATCGCATGGTTATGAGATAGTGAAACTCTCCCACTGAGTCACCTTCCATGACTCAGTGGATCATCAATGATTAGAAGGATCACGAAAGGGGGCATACTGGAATCCTAGGGGCCAATATGAAAGACTCCCAACGGTAAAATGTGATAAACTGGTGTAAATGGTAAAACGTGTAACTTGGATAAGAAAAATGACTGATTGAAACATAATGAATATATTAATGCCCATGATTTCACGATGAAAGACACATGAGAGAAAGCAAAGAACTAAAATAAAAAACTGAAACCACAAAAATAACTACTGTACCAACTTCTTACTCTAAAAATTGACAATTTAAAAGAATTAAGCATTTATCCTTTATTGTATGACTTTTCAGAGTAATCAAATCTCTCTAATTGATGAGGGTAAGTTCTTGATTATGAATGAATTATAACCAATAAATATAGAAAGAATAGGATTAGAAAAGCATAATTTTGTAGTCCCTGCTGACATAACTGATGTGATCAACAACCATCAGCTGAAGAAGCAACAGATGAAGCTTGGAGAAGTTTACACTGAAAGGATCAGGCGTCAGCATCTCATGCCCACATGCGCGCACGCGCACACGCACACACACATTTATTCTCTTTTTCCAAGCTCATTATGAAAACATACACTTGATGCTATTAAATATTTCAGATAATGAAAATTAAGAGAAAATATTGCTGATTTTAATCGTGAGATTAAATAAATTTAGGATTTATTGGAGCCCTGGAACCCCCGTTTTTCAGATGGACAGGGACACCTGTCACACACAGAGAATCCTGTGCCGTCCACCTGTCCTATACAGAGGCTGGTGTTGAGAGAAGGCAGGTGACGCGGTGCTCTGAGACTCACCTTGGGGTTTCCTTGGCATGCTCCTGAGTACACTGCTGAAGCAGATCAATAAATTTCTGCGGGAAAGCTAAAAAGTCTACCAGAAGACCTTGCTGGAATTTTAAACTACACAGAAAATAGGAAAAGATATTTTTAGAAAATTTAACTACTATCTTTTATTATAATTAACACTCTGGAAGATGATTTTTTCTTTACTAACAATGTATAATCAAGATTTAATAAACTAGGGAACTTTGACTTTTATAAAATTTATTCAATGAGAGGGAAAAGGTCAATAAATTTAGCTAAAGATCCAAATTTCTGAGCTACTGTAAGCAGAACTCTAATAATCTATGAAATACTTATTTTCCCAAAAACGTTCTGAGTAATTATAAAGAGTCCAGTATTCCCCAAATCCCTAAATGTTCCTAATAGGTATGTATGTGTTTCAAAGAGAATAGTACTAATACATTCATAGAACTTAAAAACTTACTGATTCCTAGATTAAATAAAAGATCAGAAAAGTAAATTTAGTTACCTCTGAAAATCTTCCTCCGATATAACAAGGTTATAGAGGAAAAATGGATCAGTGTCATCGGTCAGACGGATAACTAAATCCTAAAAGAGAGTGATTTTTAATGTGTTTAGTAGCTGTACCTTTGAGTAAAAAGTGAGATCACCCAACATCAAGGCATCCACGTCAGCCTTCAGCTGGCTCTGCTTCCGGGAGTGGCTGGCTTTCCCTAGTCTTACAGACTTCCATCTTCACAGGGGGTTTATTCTGCTTCTTGAGTGCCACGGGGCGGGGGGGAGGGGAGGGGGGTGTTAGGGGGCTAGGAAGTTAATTAAACGCTAGGAGCTTTAAGTTTAGGAATATCATCCTAGCCGAGCCTTGGGAAAATTCTAACCCAGCCCTTGCTACACTATGACACAATGACAAAAATATTCTTTACCACTGACTATACCATAATCAATTATATTTTCAGTTTCCTGCAAGTTAATTGTCTGGTATTTCAAAAGTGGCAAACACATGAGCAGAAATCACAACCGTCCACCCTGGGAAAGGAGCAGTGGACGGGGTATCAGGTGACATGCTGCCAGGCTTCCTCCTCTGGGCCACCCTCCTGCTCCAGATGGCCTCATGTGGAACCCACCTGCCTCAGTCTCAAAGGAGTCAACCAACACCTCTCATCAAGACCTGCTTCCAGATCAAGCTGACCGTGTGCCAGCTCCTCACAGCAGCCAAAGCTGACAGAAACGTACACCAGCATCACGGACTCAGAGGACACGGGTGTCAGGAAAACAGGCAGAGCGACAAGATGATGGAGACAATAACGAAGCAAGCACTGGGATCAGAATAAGGTTCCACTTGACATGAAACCTACTTGTGGCGACTGAGGAACTGTTAGGGGTCCTAGAAAAACCTACACCACCCATGAGGAGACCTGGAAAATGAAGGCTCCCATGGCACGCATAGGAAGAACATGGATAATCTCTTCCAAAAATCAGCAATCCAGGCATTTGCTCTGCCTCAGAATGCCCTGTTCTCAAGCAACTGCAATGGAAGCACTTCCTGAAATCCACCCCAAGCTGCTGTAAAAAACTGAAGCTGCTGCCAGTACTCCCAGGTCCCTGATGTTTTAGAGAAAGCCGTGGTGGAGAAAACAATGCCCTACTTCTCAGCTCTGTAGTCTGTATCCATCTGAAGACCATCTAGGACCGATGCTCTAACTGCCACTCTTCCAAAGGCAAAGTGAAAGATTTAAGAATATCTCCCTGCAGAGATTCATCCATCCCGTTCTCACATGCACACCAGCAAATGCCAACTCTCTAGGGTAGCAACAGGTATTCTAGCATCATAAGTGTCCTGGGCAAACCTCAGGGACCCGGCCTCCCTACCCCGATTCTCCTGTGCTTTAGAAACAGGTGGCATCATAATCTCTTAGTTATCGTAGTTCATTCCCCCACTCGGGACTGGCAAGTCCAAAATGGCCCCAAATTAAAAGCAAAATAGGTGTAAAGAGATCTCACATTCTTAGATCACAAAAATAATTACCTGCAATGTAAGAGAAATTATCATAGTTCAAAATCGAAGTGAATACCCACCTTTCTGTGAACCGGATTGGACACTGCTTGCAGCTCAATGCTCACTCTAACACTGACTCTCCTGTGTGAAGACACAAGCCCGACCATCAGAAGCCGTCACAGGACACAGTTACCCCCCTCCTATATTAGCTACAGGGTCTTCACATGTGAGGTGTTCCTCACGTGTGAGATGCTGGGAAAGGACCCTAGGTTCGAAGTTCAAGTTCTTCTTCTCCCACTAGTAAGTAGTAATCAGGTCTGTAACCTGAGGCTAGATTTGTCTCTCCTGTAAAATGGGATTGTCCTGAGGATTAAAAGAGATAAGCGAAGGGGAAGACCTAGTACTAGCCTGGACTATAACCTTACTACCCTGATGCTGAAACAGCATCTGTTGAAAGGTAAACCATCAATGTAATAACTTCTCACATTAAAAAATTACCAATTCAAATAATCAAATGATTTATGAGAGATTCCATTTAAAAAACTTAAAATGGGATGTAATATTAAGATACTGCAATGTTGAGTCAAGGACTAGGATAACATATTCCCTCCCCTCACACACACAAATTTTTTTTTTCAGATCCACAAAGTACATCTGTTCAATACACTCCATGCAGTACATGCACAGAAGTATCACCAACAGGTTACCACCTATCTTATTCTAAAGCAGTGGTTCTCAACCTACCTAAGGCCACGACCCTTCAATACAGTTGCTCATGTTGTGGTGACCCCCAATGTCATTGTTACAAATTGAACATAATTTAAGCATGGTGATTCATCACAAAACCAATATGTAATTATATATGTGTTTTCCGATGGTCTTAGGCAACCCCTGTGAAAGGGTCGTTCGACCCCCAAAGGGGTTGCAACCCACAGGTTGAGAACCGCTGTTCTAGAGGCACTCTAGGCCCTAAAAGGAAGAAACTGTAGCTTTCCACGTTCTATACGGCACCCTGCAGAATCCAGTACTGAACAGAGGCATACAGATAAAGGTGCTCATAAACATTAATCAAATGGAACAAAGATATTTAAATAATTAGGAAATAAAGGGAAAATATTAGTGAAAAAACATCTCTACATAAATGATTCTCAAACTATTGTGCTAGAATCAAATAAGTAACCTGGAAAGAGAAAGAAACAAATAATTTGTTCAATATTAAGTTATTCTTACAAAGGTGTGTTTTAAACCTTTCCCACAGCCCACCACTACTTATATGCTACAGAAATAAAAAGTGTGGACAGAGCAATGCGCCCAGATGGGAAACCTGGTAAGAGCTGACCAAAGCTAGATTCAAGTGCTTTGATTTTTTTATGCTCTGACTTATAATTTTACATTGGCTTAAAATCCTAGCTCATATGATGAGGTTACCATAACTTGTGTCTGTTCTCTGAACACCACAAAAATAGGAAGAATTATCTTTAAACCCACAGAATGTTTTGTTTCTGTTTTGCTAGTATGGAGAGCAATATATGTAAAACAGATCAGAGTCCTACTCCAATTCCACTTAAATTAAGCATTCTTGGGGGGTGGGGGGAGAGAACCTTCTCATTTCCAAATTTGTAATAGTTTTCCAATCATATTAATGCTTTTGTTGCATATATTCCAAATGCTTATATCCATTAGATGTGGGGAGAAAAAAGGAAGAAAGGCCCACAGACTAAACCTATTCCCCATGTTTCCTTCAACTCCCCCATGCCTCCCAAATATCTTGTAGAAAAATCTGTGCTTTCAGAGGATATACTACCTGAAATCAGAAATCTTATTTTACCCATTGTAATGGCTAATGTCACAGGAACATTATGAAACAAATCAATAAAACCTCAATAAAAATGCTATTTTCCAAAATTAATGCCACATTCTGAACAATGCATACATCTACATAACATCTTCCTTGTCAGGTAAATCTGGCATTAGCTGACCTGGATTCTAGCCCAACTCTGCTGCCTAGAAGCTATGACTTTAAACTCTCAATTCAAAAAATTGAAAGCTACTCTAAGCCAGGTACTGTGCTGGGTGCTAGGGTTACAAACAGAAACAAACATGGGGCATGGCCTCACACTGAGATCAGGTGAAATGACTTGACCCCAGATATGCTTCTGACTGAGTTGCAGGGCTTCCAGAGAGGGAGGGAAGGCACACTCACTGAGCGCCCACACACGGAGCACTTGCCAGGCCCTTGGAATAAACCACCTTAGTCAACAACAGTCATCTGAAGTCAGTATCATTTGTCTTACAAAGGGAGAACCTGAGGTGCAGTTACAAACCTGGTGAAGGTCACACTGCAGAGCCCAAACCAGAACTCAGATTTTTCACCGCTATCATGCCATCTAAGAAATAAAGTCAATTAATTTCAACGTAGGCAACCTTGAACAGACCCTTATGTGGACGGGATCGCAGACAGACCTTGAAAGTGGTGCAGGAAGCAGCACTGGAGCAGAGGCGAGCAGGACTAGAGGCAGCCCTGAGAGAAGGAGCTGCACTCGGAGGGGAACGAGTCGCCTCGTGTGACTAGTATACTGGGGAGAGGAGCTCAGGAAACACAAATGAAAAGCAGGTTGTAATCAAATCATGGGCTTCAACATTTTTCACTTTCCTCCAGACACTTCTCTGAGCAGTGCCACTGTCTTCCATGAAACTGCCTCCTTCTCTATGACGTCAGTAATTTGTAAACTTCATGCATTAGTCACATGTTAGTGAATGCATACTATGCTCCAGGCACTGTTTGTTCTAAGCACTTTAATATGCATTAACTCACTGCAAATTCATAATACTCCCATGAGGCAGGGACTTTTATCATCGATTTAAAGCTGGGCACAGAGACATTCAGTAAACTAACAAACAAAAAAAACCGACATCAAACCTGTACAAAATGAAGGTCAGTAAGTGGCAGACCTGGGATTTCAAGCCAACCTGGCCCTGAGCCTGAATCTGAACCTGTGTTGTGCTGCCTGCCCCGGGGAAACTGCTGCCCCTATTGAAGCTCAGTTCCTTGAGGACCAGAATGAAACCCGGGGTTTTCTGTTGTGTTTTGGGGCTGGAAGTGAGGAGGCAGGAAGCTTTACACTCTTAGCACCCGGACAGCTCCTGGTACACAGTGGGCACTCGTCAATGTATTTGTTGAGTGACCTGGCCTTGAATACTTAGAGACTGATTGTTTCCCACAGGTCAGGGATCAGCAAACCTTTCTGTCAAGGCCAGACAGCGAGTGCTTCAGCTCTGCAGGCCACGGGTCTCTGCCACACGTACTCATCTCTGCCCTTGGAGCTAAAGCAGCCACAGAGGACTCCTCAACAAATGAGAATGGCTCTGCTCCAATACACATAAAGCTTTATTCACAAAAATGGGCAGTGGGCCACCTGGCCATGGGCTCTAGTTTGCTGACCCTGCTACAGGGGCTAGGAAAGGTTTCTAAAGAGGAGGGTGAAAAGGGGGACACTGTGTCTTAAATTCTGAGATATTCTCAATTACTAGTAAATGAGAGCCGGAGGGTAAGCCCAGCAGACAGGAGTAATTAACCAGTTAACAGCTGTGGGCCAGCTGACAAGACGGTGGAATCCGGGCTCCCCTCCAGGTGGCTGTTTCTGCGATTGGCTGAGAGAACGCCAGGAGCTTCCACCTGCAGCCCACAGCGAGTCCCCACAGAGGACGCCTCCTGGGGACTGTGAACCCGCCCGGAACCAGCCGCCTCACCTTCACCCACCCCTTTCCCTAGAGCCAGTGTAAACCCTCCCGACACAACTTATCAGTCTCCCCAACACACACACACTCACACACACACACACACGACGGATACGCACTCTCGCCCACTCCAGCACGGCTTTCCCACGTGTGTGCTGCTGGTAGTTTAGGTTTCATGCCTAGCAATGGCCCAATAAACACTTCGCTTTAAAAAGACTTCAGCTGTGGCAGTTAAGAAGTTTTGCTCAACCACATAATGAGATGGAGAAGAGCTAGGAGTTTCGACGTTGGAATCAGAAATTACACCCTCACCTTTCATCTTTCTATCCTCGTTCTAGATCTAGAACGAGAAAGAATGGAGGCCATGAATATGAGCCACATCATAATTTTACATTTTCCAGAAGCCACATTTAATTAACCCAACATACCCCAAATAGCGCCATCTTAACACACTGCGGACCAGTAGTTTTATTGCCAGCTTCACCCAGTGGCCAGGTAAGTTCCTACTGAACGAGTACAAAAAACGCTTTACATAAATGTTAAAGGCGCGCTTTAAAATTACATACCCGTTGCATGTTGAAGTTATTCATTACATGTTCTTACAAACTAATATCTTTTTAAAGTATGAGACTTGGTAAAACACTGTGTAATATGAAGCGAGAATTCTCGCGACCCGTCGGCAATGTTAATACACATAATCAGCGTAAAAATCGAGATATTTACATCCCTTTCCTTCACAGAGTCTTCGTAGCCCACTGTGCATTCACTCTATGGCACATCCGTTTGGATTCGCTCCAATTCAATGTCCAGTGACCGCAGCGACCGGCACCCTGGGCAGCAGGAACGAATGACCGACAGAAACGACCCGCACATCTCCGCCCGCAGTGGCGGTGCGGCACCACCGGGAGGGCGGCCTGGCTTGCCCACAGGTCTTGGACCCAATTGCACTATATACTAGTTCCACGTCACTGGGTAAACCAGTGTCCTCACCCTCCAACCATCACCTGGGCGGGAACGTCATACCAGTTCACAAACCAGAAGCTAACGAGGGGCGGAACCAAGACAAAACTGCGATCTCCGGGGGTAAGGGGGGGGGGCGTTAAAGAGAGAAAAGGGGGGTACATGGTGATGGAAGGAGACTCGACTCGGGGTGCTGAACACAATACAATACGCAGAACTGTACCCCCGAAGCCTCGGTAATGTTATCAACCAATGCGACCCCAATAAAACCAATAAAGGGGCGGGGGGCGGCGTGGCTCAGTGGTTGAGCCTCATCTATGAACGTGAGGTCACCGTTGGATTCCGGGTCGGGGCGCCCGGGTTGCGGGCTCCATCCCCAGTGGGGGGCGCGCGGGAGGCAGCTGGGCAGTGATTCTCATCACTGGGGTTTCTCTCTCTTCCTC